AAAAGCTGCAAATGGATCCGCACGCCTCTGACTCAGCGTTACAAATCCACATGGATTTCCACAAGTAGTTTGTGTTTTATTTATACAGTGTTTATCTCCCACTGTAGCATGCCATTCTTGCTAAGAAGTTTGTAGAGTTGATGACCAAATATAATGAAGCCCAAGTGGAGTTTAGAGCTGGAGATCAGTGAGTAACAAACAACATACACAGACCTTCTTTAGGGTTGAATAAAAAAAATAAAAAATCAAGTCAGTGATCACAATGCATGTTTAAGGGCCAGTGTTGGATCCTGTCTTACAACTGGCAAAGCCACTACTGATGAAGAACTGGAGGAAATGCTGGATGGAGGAAACGCTGCAGTATTCACAGCAGGAGTGAGTGATTTTGTGTGACATTGATGTGTGATGTTTTGTTGTAAAAATATATCTTGCGTGTAATTTGTAAAAAAAAAATGTTTTAAGAAATGTATGCTTTTATTCATCAAGGACGCATTAAATTGCTGAAAAGTGTTATTAAAGACTTGTACATTGTTACTGTAAATACAAATTCTATATAAAATAAAATCTGTTATTTTGTTATTTTGATTTTCTATTCATTAAATAATCCTGAAAATAATTATCCCAGTTTAAAAATTTTAGCCAGCACAACTGTTTTCAACATTGATAATAATAGAAAATGTTTCTTGAGCATTCTTAAAAATTCAATTGTGCATCACAAGAATAAATTATATTTTAAAATATAAAACAGTTTTTTTAATTGTAATAATATTATTCACAATATTAATCAAATAAATGCTGCCTTGGTGAGCATAAGAGATGTATTTTAAAAAACTTAAATGACCCCAACCTTTTAAATAGTAATGTATGTTTATTTTTTAAACACTTTCTCCTTTTCTATAGATTATGGACTCTGGGATATCAAAACAGGCACTAAGTGAGATTGAGGCACGACACAAATATATTATGCGACTGGAGAGCAGCATAAAAGAGTTGCATGACATGTTTGTGGACATTGCAATGCTGGTGGAGAATCAGGTATATGTGTTTGTCTTCTCAGGAGAATACAGCAAAGCTATAGCTGTATTTTGGAGTCCTTATGATTAAAACTGCTGTTGGACACCATTTTGTTCTCATTTATCAACAGGGAAGCATGATTGACAGGATTGAGAGCAACATGGACCAGTCAGTGGGTTTTGTGGAAAGAGCTGTGGCTGACACCAAAAAGGCTGCCAAGTTCCAACAAGAAGCACGGAGGGTGAGCTGGGAAATTATGAGCAACAATTGTGTCATATAATAATTGACACTTTCACTTATAGTATATTTTCATTTGCTAAGATTCTCAAAAAGCATTTTATTTTTCTCACTGCATTTTTTATTTTTATTGTTCATCCATCTTCTGTTTTTCTTCATGTATCGATGTCCTCTGTTTCTCCCTCATAATTTCAACCTCATCTCTATATGTCTGTTCTCGACACCTTCCAAATCTCTTTCCCAATCATTCTTTCCTCTTGCTTTCTGCCACTATCATTATATCATTATCATGCTGTCACTGGCTGCCCACTTACACCTTTGTAGAAGAAAATGATGATCATGGTGTGTTGCACAATTTTTTGGGTCATCTGTGGTTCTCTGGTGTACAGCTGGCTGACATAAACGCCAAGGTAAGCATTCATAAAACTAAGTTCATAAAACGGCATGCTATTTGTGAGTAACGTCCTGCCTTTTTCCAGGTGAAGAGGTTGTCTACTTTTCCAAGTCATGCTTTTATAAAGAATCAAGAGAAGCAACTTAGTGCTGATGAACTCAAAACATCCCTACACACACAACATGTCTTCCAGTGCTTGTTCATCTAATTTCCCCACTTTTTTTGTCTTTTATGTTTTTCCTGTCTTATCAGTTGGCCTTGCACTGTTAGAGGCATCACGGTAAAATGTGATATGCAAGCTATCTGTTCATTTTAGGGCTGTGGTATGAAATATTGCTTTTATTTAATTAATTGTTTTCTAGGAACTTATGATAAACAATACATCTCTGCTGAAAAAAATAAACAGCTAAAACCAGCTTAAGTTGGTTGGCTGGTTTTAACTGGTCGTCCAGCCTGGTTGGCCAGCTTAGTCCAAATTATTTTAAGTTTTTCATTGAGGGTAAATATGGTTCTGTCTTTACTGACCATTTGCTTATTTAGTGTAGATGAGTAGCACTTAGTTGATTTATTTCGTATGTTTAGCTGGTATTTTCTTTTATGTACGTGATAATAGTATAACTCTGTATTCTGGAGACACTTGAGTTTAACTCTACAGTAGTCTGGCTTGAGTTGTTTAGACTGAGTAATTGTGATTAAAAGACCGGTGTTGTATAAAATCTGTGTTTAAAAAGTTAAAATAGTAAATCATTGTTATTTGTATTTAGAGAGAAAGGTTTCTGCTGCCGTTGGTTTTGAGGGTGTAGTTATCGACAGCTGTTTAGTTCAATGAGGGGCTGCGCGTTAGCTGATGGCTGGCCAATCAGCAACTACTTCCTGATCGCTTGTGTTAAACGAAAAGTAAGTTCCACCATGCGGAGTTACTGTGCTGGGTTACCAACAATTCAATGTGTACAGTTTTTTCAAGACAGTTTATTGGACTCAAAGAATTAAGTCGAGGACTTAATGAAGATCTTATGTGAAGTTAGTTCACTGTCACTGGGCTAATTCGAAAGAAATGTAGATTTATTTCACCAGACGACCCAAGCGAGAGCTTTAGACAGTCAAGTCATGGACTGGACGTCCGCAGGCGATGGTACGTCAAGCCACGGAAGAAAAAAGGTATTTTTTTTCAATAATCATATTACTCGTAAGGATTTAAAAAATGGTTGCAGAAATGTTCCTAAAACTGAGTGAGCGTGTTGATATTTAATATTTGATTGGTTGGCAACGCGACGCTTCCAGCACATGTAAACCAGTCTTTGTGTAGCTCCGTTGATCGGCATGCAACTCCAGCCAATGAGAGTGTGGCTCCTTTGGTCACGTGTACAATTATTTCCTCTTAGTGCCGCCTCCCAGTGAAGTGACAGCGACTCTAACCAATGAGCGCAAAGGCGAGGGCGTCGCATGTGTTCGTGATTGGATGCTGAACCAGTAACGGGCGGGTCTTACTTCGTGGTGTTTTTGTGACGATGTGAAAATGGCGGCGAATGATGTACTACATTAACTTTGTCGTGAATTCACACAGTGGAGCTGTCTAAATAATGCTTACTTTCACTTAGAATAGAAAAGTTACTAGACGAGTCTAGTCGGAGTGCATATTTTAATAGTAAAAAAAAATACACGAGGACTATTTTAACCGCTGGATTTCCCCCTGTGAGCCCGAGTTTAAGTCTTGTGGAAATACGGTTTCATTAGAAACTTGAACCGGGATTAGCGTGTGTTACTCGATAAATATACGTTCATCATTTCTCGCCGCACTCCTTATGGTTGACTGCAATATTAGACGTTGTACATATAAGCCGTATGTATAAGCAAGACCCCATATCGCTTTGTAAGTTTAATATTTTTACGACTGTTTCTCGGCAGGTTAGCGGTTGGTGCTGATGCTCGTTCTCTAACGTTACCCTCAGCAGCGCTTAGCTTGACAAGCTTTCATGGTTGTTGTAATAACCTGCCCTTTTCACTTTTTGTGTGAGATTATAATACAATGGTTTTGTAGTATTAAAGAACACGCTGAAATCGTTAAACCCGCTTCTGTGTGAACGAACCTCCTGACGAGTTCTAAAAGGTATTCAGGTAACGTATCGTTAAACGGACACTGAAATAAAGTGACCATCAAACACAGTTGGAGCGGTTATTTCAAACGCGATAAACAGACAGAAGCGTGTTCGCTGGCGCGCCACTTGCACCGGGCTGCGCGTGAGTCTTCATTCTGACAATGGACGGTCCAAAGCCGCGCTACAGCAAGCGACTGGTAAGTGCAGCGCAGTGGACACCTGGAAAATAAAATGCTTCGATTCGGATGGTACATTGTGTATATATATACTGCATTTTTACTGAAGCTGTTGAAATGTTAGCAATGTTCAGTTCACTAGTGCCGTCATTTGAGTGGGACAAATAATCTGCAAGGCGTCACTAAAATGACTTCAATTTATTTAGCTTTTTTTTACTCTATCGGTTTAATGCGTTCAGATGTTTAACATTTTGAACGGATGTCAATGTCAGTTAAAGATTTCTTGAAAACTTAAGCGAGTCTGTCATTCTCGCGGAGAGGCTGGATACAGTAGATATTGATTGATTGATTGATTGATTTTTGGCTGACTGCTGAAGAACCACGTGACCAGCAGGTGCCAACAACCACTGACCCAGACACTTTTATGACCAGGAAACATCAGAAAATCAGTAAAGCAATTAGAATAATTCTGTAATTTCACAAAGTGTTCTTGCAATATTTGATGGCAAGAAAAAAAAA